CCGAGACTGTGACGGGACTGATGTGTCTGAATCGACCTTTAGACAAGGAAAGGGCAAAGGGGGAAAGGTAGGAACAATCTACAAATGTCAATACTTGACAATAAAACAAAAAAAATTATTTTACTGAATTTTGTTATCTAAATACTACAAGTGATGCCTTAATTCTTTTTTTTTTTAACGATCTGTATGTTACATATTATACTAAGTTCTTATTTTCTTTGTAGTAAAAGTATTAAGAAAAGACGGCACAGACGCCGATACCAATGAACTGGGACGAGTCGCTATTAAGCTACCATTACCTCCTGGAACCTTGTCAACACTCTACAGAGCCGAGGAAAGATTTGTCAAAACATACTTCAGTAAATTCTCAGTAAGTATTTTCATAATGATTTGGATAAATTTTATATGTTTTTATATGCATTATGATAATTTTGGTTAATTAATAATATTTGTTATCTACTAGAAAGAGGAAAATCTTTCGTTCGTTTGTTATAACCTCGGTTGATAACAAATTTTGATTTTTCTCTACATATTGTTGGTTGTGTGTTGATTATTGATTATGTGTCTCTCTCTAACGTTCTAACGTGATGTTTGCTCATTAGCGTATTTATGTATATGTATATATATATATATATATATATATATATATATATATATATATATAAATATATATATATAAATATATATATATATATATATATATATATATATATATATAATATATATATATATATTTACAAAGTTAATTGAACAGCATTGGAAGAATTTAGACGTGGGGTAAAATGATCCATCGTTATGCTCACCCCCTAATCGGATCGTGTTGTCCCAAAAACACCGGAACAGAACTAAAAATTTTCCATTCATCATCATCATCTTCTTGGTGCTACAGCCCTTAGAGGGCTTCGACCTTCTCAAGCTTTTTACACCATTATGTTCTGCCCCTTGCTTGCATTTTCCATTGCTACTTGGTAAAATAAACTAAGACAAACACACCTATCGCATAATATATGCGTAGACTTGTTCTTCTTCTAGTGCGACTCAGCTAATAAAAGTTGGCTATAAGCATCGCAAATTCGTCTCTATTTTCTGTTTTTCTTAGAAACGTCTGTGTGTTTCGGCTTCGACGCCTTAAATAAGAATAGAGTGAATACATTTTACCATACCATATCGGATTTTCAGATTAAGACTTTGGATGCTTTGAAATTTCCTCATCTTCAAAAAGGTTACTCTTGATTGTTCTAGATCTTCAGTAATCCAGACTCCTAGGTACTTCATTTACTCCATTTGTTTAATATGTTCATTTTTCATCTGGATCTACTCCCAAAACTATTTCCTTGTATCGCAAATTATGTATGTAGTAGCGTCTGCAGGTCTTTTTTTGTTTCAGCGATAATGACTGTATCGTAGGCATAACGAATGTTTTTTTTATATTTTAACCATTTATCTTGATCCTTTCTATACAATTTTCAAGTGCCTATGTAAATAACTCTTTGAAATATATATTAAATAGTAATGGTGAACGTAGATAGCCTTGTCTCACACCTCTATTCATCTGTTCCGCATTCTCGTTATTTCCATCTTATGTTACCACAGCCTGTTGGTTAAAATAGAGATTTCTCACTATGCTAATATCATTTTCGTCGATGCCTTTTTGCTTCAGATCTTTCATGATAATGTTATGTTTAACTTTGTCGAAAGCTTTCTTATAATCTATAAATGCAACAAAAAGATTTTTTTGTTGGTCTCGACATTTTTTAGCAAGAGTATAGAAACAATATAGAATTTCTACTGTTTCGAAGCCATTATTAAAACCACACTGTCCATTGCTAATATCATCTTTACACTTTCTGAATATTCTTGCATCTAACCTTGCACCCTAAAAATGATTTTAATAGTTATGAAATTAAGCTGATTTGTGTTTGGGATTCTTGGTTTTAGATAGCGGAACAAAAGGCATTAAGAGCCATTATGTAAGTATCTCACCAGATCTGTATATGTTGTTAAAAAGGATAGTTATTTCGCTTAAATTATCTTCATCTATAAGTTTAATCAGCTCGATGTCAATTTTATCTGGCTCAGGGGCTCTATGAAATTTTAAGTTGTTTATAGCATGTTGGACATTAAATTTTAATATTATTGGAACTATCTTCAATATATTTACTTTTATTTTAATTGAGTTATTTATAGGTTTATTGTTTTGGTTAAGTGTATTTGTTCGTGATTTTACGGTAAAAACTGTACAGAGTATTTTCTGTTGTCCGTAAGTGTTGTGTAGAAAAATGTTTTGCAAAAATAACTTCGCAAGATCAAAAGCGTTTATTTAACTTATTTTAATATAATGGTTCAAAAAAGAACAAAACACTCTTCTAGCAGGTTGTATGGCATTAGGGGAGTCTCCAGAAAGGTATATAAAGATAGAAAATCCCCAAACTAGCAGACAGTATCACTGAAAAGTGGAATACAAGCCTAAAACTTCTGGTTGTGACGTGCCCATGTTCCGTTCCTTTTTTGTTGACTTATATCAAGTAGGAGTGAAGCGTATACCAATAGTACAGAATAAAATTGTTAAGAAAACTCCACTTGATAAAAAACGTGGAAAATAAGGAAACCAAAGAAACATTTCAGGTGATGTTTATTCTATGGCTTTAGAACATTTAAAATCTATTCCACATAAACCAAGTCATTACACATCTGGAAAAACAAACACATTGTACTTCGACAACCCAGATCTAATGATTACTAAAATTTTTGAGCAGTTTCAAAAGTTGTTTAAAGACACTACTGGGAATAATATTACCATGAAATACAATACTTATTTTAAGTTTTTAAGAGAAACTAATTTTAGGTTAAAAAAAAACGAAGACTTGGACACATGTAATTATTGTCGTGAGTATGAAATCAAACTAGAAAAGAACCGGAATGATGAATGCCGTGTTGATTACAATCTCCATAAAAAGAGACTCGAGGCATATTCCAAGCTAAAAAATGATTACTTGAGAAAGACAACAGATGTTAGTAGCATTCTTGTCCTGGAATTTGATTACGCACAAAATCTACCGTTGCCAAAGCTAAGCATAACACAACGGTTTTATAAAGACTTTTATGGATGTATGTATTCAATATACACGTGCATAATAATGGTTGCTTCATTCATCTTTGACTGTATTCACAACAAATTAGCAGATTATTCTAATACCAAGTATATTGTTCTTCGATCAGATGCAGCTGGAGGCCAAAATAAAAATCAGACTTTGTTACGGTTTTGTTCTTGGATATCAAAACTATACACAGTCGAAGTGACACACATTTATCCTGTTCGTGAACACTCCTTTAGTCAATGCGACAAAAAATTTGGGGTTAAAGACAAACCTTAAAAAGAGTTCAAGATGTCGAGAAACCCAAAGTCTACCTAGAAAAAATCGTACAGTGCAGACAAACTCCTTCTCCTTTCACCCTTAAACATGACTCCTCTATAATATATAACTAGGATACAGCATTTCTTCCTTATTTTTTGAAGAAACCAGTGAATAAAGATTGTGAGTTTAAAATACAATAGTATCGCGTGCGAAGTATAAACCTTGTGGGATACTGGCTGATTCTAAAACCTACTTTGAAATGTACACCCCTTTTAAATATACCAAAACGCTTCCACTTGACCTTACTCTTACACCTTTGCTTGGGTTTCCATTAATCAGTCTAAAATGAAAGACGTGAGAGACTTGTTTCAGTACTTAAGAGAAGAAAGTAGAAACTTTTACAAACTTTTATTTCAAGAAAGCACACCGGCTGAAAAGGACCATAAGAATAGTGCTAACGGCTCAGATGGTGAAGAAATTTAGCATAGAATTATATTAAATATAACGTAGTGTAAACAAAATTAAAATTTTGTTGTTGTAAAAAGACCTTGATAATTTGTTTAAACCTTTGCATACTATAATATATAACTTTAGTATACTATACAACAGTAAAAAATGATAGGCCTTTCTTCTGCAGAAGACGTGTTAATCTGTCAAATGTGTTCTCCAGAAGAAGGGCTTATGTAAACTTGTTTTAATACTCTTCATTTGAAAAGAAAAAAAAAAGCATATTTAAGAAAGGTGTTCGCTGTTATTTTATTAATGGATCGAAAATTCTTAAAACTTAAAAACTTAAACAATGCAAGTGTTCTTTGGCCTTAGGCATAAATTTTAAATATTTGAATGCTTGTTTCTCAAAATACACTTTTAGCAGATAGCCCCGTCTTCTAGCTAGCGCCTTAATTTTTCTATTTCGATGCATGTTTCCATCATCTACTTTTCCTTAGCCTCTTTTATTTTGTTAATTATTAATTTGTTGTTCTCTGTATTTATCTGGGTTTTTATTTCTATATTTGCTTCTTTGTTCCTTGGTTTCCAGTATTTCTTAAGTCATCCAAGGTTTTTGGCTTTCTTTTGTAGAGTTTCGTTTTGTGTCTTTATAACAGACTATTTGCCTTTTTTTCCACATGATGTTCACATTCTCAGTGTCTTTCATTTCTAATGTTAATCTTTTCATTTCTTGATTTATTCAAGTTAAAGCATCAACAGATATTTCGTCTAACTTGAGCAACTGAGGATTCATCTTAGAACTTTTAAATTTTATTATCTTTTTTACCCTCAGTTTCATTTTTAAGACAAGGAGGCTATGGTGTGATAAAGCATCCGCTCCAGGGTACGTAGAAATTACCACCCCGGGAACGGGGTGGTAATCGAAATCATGTGTTCATAATCGCCAGGTTTTCTTCCTGATAAAATTGATGCATAGACCAAACTTCATATAGTGAAATAATGACTTATCTTAGTTTGAGCACAGTAATTTTGAATAATTTGTGATAAAATCATTCCTGCTGTCAATGATGCTACAACACTAGCAGGTATTGTACTGTTTGACGATAAGAACACTAAATTCACTTTAAATATACTAATAGCGCTATAAAATCGGTAAAATAGCCGAGGATCGTTTTACCTCGAGAGATCATTTTGTACCACCTTCCTTAAACCCTTATTTTCCTGCTCTAACCAATTTGTTCATAAATACATATACTACTAATACTTATAGGGATACTACGACACGATGGACGCCGGATACGTGGACAAAGACGGCCTTATTTACGTAACTGCTAGAGCTGATGACGTCATCAATGTAGCTGGACATAGATTATCTACCTTAGCTCTGGAAAATATTATTCTCTCCCATCCCGAAGTAGGAATGGCTTGTGTAATTTCAGTACCAGATGAAATTAAAAGTGAAGTTCCTGTCTGCTTATTTGTTATGAAAGAAGGTAAGTTTATAAAGACTTTATCTGTTTAAAATTTGAGTCTCAAGAAGATCGAACTATCTCATCATCATTATGGATTATATTTTGTTTTATGTCCTAGTATTTTTTTATTTATCCTAATGTTTCTTGCATAGTTCGTTACTCTCTTTTTGTTTATCTTCCCTATTTTTTTATTTCGACTCCATTCAGCAATGCCTTAATTTTGATTTAATTTACTGTGTCCTGTGCTATATTTTTGTCTGGAATTGTCGTAATTTTGTGTGATTTTGATTTTATTGAGGTCAATATCACACTAATTGGGAGCAGTGAACAAATTGATCTACCATGGTGCAGTTATTTCTCAACTTAAATTTTATATTTCGACTACTATTCACTTCAAAAACATTTTTTCTTTTTGCTACTGACATACTTAACATAATTTGTACCGTAGATTCTGACCAAAGTGATGGCAGCGTTTCCAAGGAATTAGTTAGTATGGTCCGAGAAAAGTTAGGACCAGTGGCTGCCTTTAAATTAGCAATCCCAACGAGAGGACTTCCCTTAACTAGATCAGGAAAAATATGTCGAAAATCTTTGGCGGATTTGGCAAGAAATAAACTTAAAAAGGTATGTAACTACCATACCATTTGACTTAAGATCGTTTTATGAATAGGCTTGCAAGAATTCTATCATGTTTTTGGTTATGAAGAGATGTGTTAATATAATCCTATAAGGTAGGTAGGTAGGAGTTTTAGTTAGAATAGGATTAGAATATGATATGGCATTGTTCCTGTTTAAAAGTTTTAATTACCCTCTTCAGAGTTGCGATCATTTACATAAGAAGTGCAGGTATTCATGGTTGGTGGTTTGTAAGAATACATTGTTTTCGGTGTTTATAAGCTGTGGATAATAATGAAATAAAAACGACATTTATAAACTACGCGACGACTACATTTGAACATATCGGAAGAATCACTAGCATACAAAATAAAAATTATGAACTACATACTTCTTATGTTATTATCGAAGCAGAAGTGAAAGCTGCTATAAAACTTATCAAATATGGTAAGGTTATAGGATCAGATTGAAAATAAATATTAATGCATACTGGAGCCTCTATTATAAATCAATTGCAACGTTTATGATGGGGAATCAATTAGAGCAGAAGGGGGCACTTTTGAACGTTTTTTCTTTTTAAGTGTATTATGACTTACTTTGCCTACAATTATTTATTTTAGGTACCGCAAACAACATCAGCACAACTAATAATGTAATATTGTCTATCAAACTTACCAAGAAATTATCTGAATGTATAAAAAAATTAACTTTACATATCATAAGAAAAATGTTCAAAAGTGCCTCTAATAGGGATAGCTTTGAACTAAGAAGTTGCGCATTTGAATGACCTAAAAATACTATGAAATCAAACCAAAAAATACAGTTTATTATTAAAAGACATAATGAAATATACAAACGTGAAAAAACACATTAAGTACCTAAGTGCCAAAGATATAAACATTCAAAAAAGAAACTATTAAAACACTTCACACTTGTATTGTGGTATAAAAACACATAGTTAAAACTTTTTAAAAAGGTGTCGTCAAAATTTATGTACTAGCATAACGTTTTCGATATGAACAGATCATCCTGAGTGCCTGGTGTAATTGAAGCTAACAATAAAGTTATCGCTGAGACCTCCATATATGGGTTTACATCATTCCAAATTTTAAATTTTAATTATGTTGTCGATGATAATGGATACATTTTTATTACTTTAGGGAATACATGTCTCCATGCTCGATTTTTTAACATGTGGTACTCTTCTTCTGACTTCTTCACATATTCTCTCCTCATGTCTCTTACTTCTTGGGGTCTCCTTACTTGTCTTTTTATTTTTTTCAATATTATTCGTCATTATTAACTTCAATCATTAACTTTAAACTTAAACTCCATCACTACAATCAAACTCCATCTTTTATCACCACACATCCATTCGACACTTTCAGTCTGTGGACCCCACTACCACTTATAATACATATTTCACTTAACCAACTCAGATATGCAGTTAATCTAATCTTCTCACAGTTAACTCAACATATAGTCTCTATTATTTCATTTTTTCTCTAATACATATTCACACACATATCAAACATTTTACATTTCCTCTTCCCTATATTAATATTTTCATTTATTCATTCGCAGCTTCATTTATATTCATTCAACATACTTCACAATAGGGTAATACCATATTAACACCATCAAAACTACAATATAATAATAGAATATCATATTCTGGTATCATATCTCATAAAACTTTTTAATAGACTATTCATTTTACTAATTAAATTTTTAATTCTCAGAGATTTACACAACAGGTCTTTTACCGTTGCTAGGCAACCATCATTACCCAATCAAAAATAATTTTTACTTTCATGTCATTGGATTTCAAATTAATCTTTTAGTATATACTAATTTTTTTATACCATTTCTACACTATTATGTGGATAGTACTACATCACTTCCTTTCAGTTTCTACCTTTATCACTTTCTTACCACTTATGATGTCATAAATTCAACCTTAAACATTAATTCCACTAATTTAATAGTTCATTTCTTTTTCAATAATATAGATTTGCTGATTTAAGACAATAAATTTTATCATTTAAACGAATTTAATTTTAACTACAGGATCATTAATAAGATGTTACTTATTATTACAACAAAATAAATTTTATAATTTTTAAATTAAAAAAATTACATTCGTTTCGGAACACACCTATACCTAGTCACGTTCAGCTGTCTTCTTAAATTATATTCCTGTCACCTCAGCCAGTTGGTCTGTGTCGTTTTATCTGACAAGTACCACGTGTTAAAAAATCGAGCAGGGAGACATGTAGTCCCTAAAGTAATAAAAATTTATCCATTGTCATCGACTTAGAGTCACAACATAATTAAAATTTAAAATTTAGAATGATGTAAACCCATATATGGAGGTCTCAGCGATAACTTTATTGTTACCTTCAATTACACAAGGCACTGAGGATGATCTGTTGCAGATCGAAAACGTTATGCTAGTACATAAATTTTGACACTTTTTTAAAAAGTTATAACTATGTGTTTTTATACCACAATACAAGTGTGAAGTGTTTTAACTTTTGTGTTTTTTTAAACGATGATATACAGCCAACTACTGAGATTTTTCCATTAATTATAAAGAAACTATTAATTTTTAATTAATTTCGAAAGTTACAATATTTCGGTCATGTAATGAGACATCCAGAGAGGCATAACCTTCTATACCTCATAATACAGGGTAAGATAGCCGGAAGAAGAGGTCCAGGCCGACGAACAACATCCTGGCTCCGAAATCTCCGAGAATGGTATCAAGAAATCACCGCTAATTTATTTAGAGCCGCCGTCAATAAAGTTATTATTGCCAATATGATCGCCAACGTTCGATAATCGGACAGGGTACTGAAAGAAGAAGATTAGTTTTTAATTTACATTGTAATTATCCATCAAATTTGAAAAAGAAAGAAATGATTGTGTTCCGCAAGTGCTGTAATTTGAATTGTTTATAGGATGTTATTTTAAAACTACATATTCAATGGGGACTATCGAAATATCCTCCGTTTCTGGAAAGTGAAAAGTTGAACTTGTCCCTTCACCCTTAATTCTTTTTCAAAATTAAACTTCAAACTCTGAATCCACAGCAAATATTTCAATGATCTGTCCCACATAATAATTACACAGCTCTTTTGTAACAAACTTCACTAAAATATGGTCATTCTGTTCATATTTGTCAATTTGTGTGAAGTCATCCGATTCATCTAAATTTTGTCTTCATCGCATTCCGAAGTGTCACTCTGTGATAGAGTTTCTTCTTCAATTTTTTTTTTTTAGCGTTTCTGTTAAAACTCTAGATCTAACCTTTTATCGTGCTCTAATATTTTTTCTGGGGGCAGCGTTTAGGAAAGGTCGTACAATGTCAGGTGTTAGTGGAGTTGATGTAGATGGAACAATTTTAATTTCAGACGCTTCTGTGGTTGAAGCAAATGGAACAACTTCAATTTCATGTGCTACTGGGGTTGATATAGATAGAACAGCTTCTGTTGAGTTGTTTATATTATTTCCTGGTGGTGGCCGGTAACTAACAAAAGCACAGTCAAAATCGTCATCCGAGAATACAATACGGTCCAAGTGCTTGTTTTTCCTTCAACTTCAACTATCCTTCAACTATATTCTTCATAATAAAGTAAGAACCGTATGCAGTGTTTGTAATAGCTGCTAAGTAATGTATGGTAATTTCTCGAGCAGGATGCATTATCATCCATCCGGTCGTAGCAACGGCAAATTTTTGATTTAAACGACGAATAAACTGAAGGCATCTGAGTTGCGGGGTGGAAATGTAACTAAATACTATACCATTTTCAAGTGCAAACAAGATGGATTCAAGATAACATTAAGTTCGTGATTCTTCATCAATATTAAAATTGGAGTATCACAAGAAAACTGTGTATAACGTTTAATGTGATTAAGAACCTTGAGAAACAGTTTCTTAGTCATCCATCTAGAACTTGGCGAATTAGCCAAACCTTTTCAAGTGAGCTCCATTCAACATTGTATCATGAAAAGGGGCTCTTGGAAATATGTATACCGACGGCACAGCATTTCCTAATGCATTAATTATCCCACACATAGTGATCAGGTTTTCTCTCTCTGCTGAAACTATCTGCCCAACTTGTTTGATTCTCTTTTGCGTTACAATGTTTGCATTGTACGCAAGCTTAGCTGTGTCTGTAACGCAAGCTTAGCTTGCAGGACAGTGTTGAAACCAGTTTTGTCTAAGTTATAGATCCTGTCAGGTGTAAAATCGTTGGTTGAAAGAGCACGTTCATAATTGTCAAAAAATGTCCCAACCTTGTCTTTTGTAAAACTGGTAGCTCGGCTAAGGCAGGTGTTTTCGGGTTTTTTCAACGCCAAATTTCGTAATTTATTTTTGAAGATTTTAATATATAACTAACTAATAGGTCTTCAGTTTTGTTAAAAACTTGACCAATAGAATACAAGCTTGAATAATTCGACAGATCATTTTAAACTACACCATTTTGTTCTGCCCATTCTCGTTCGTGTTTTCTTTTTATTCTATAAAATAGTGTCCTATGTTTAATTCCATACGTAGCAGAAGCCGTGCGAAGTTTCATGCCACCCTCCACTGCTTGTATGGCATTTTGAATATCATCCTAAGTTGGAGGCACTTCTGCACGTTTTCTTTTGTAAGTACGTACCATCTCAGTTCCCAAAAATCCACATTTAACATTAATTTTAATTCTTCCTAATGGAACTTTCAGTAATGTGGCACCTCTGAATAAAGTTCAAAAGTGTCTTTTTCCTGATGTTCAAATGTGCCCCGCAACTACAGATTTTATGTTTGGGTAAGTTAAAAATTTAGGGTTGGAATTACGAAGTTAAATATCCAACACATACCTTGAAAACCCCGGCGAATTGCAGGCTAGCAGTAACACCACCCAGTTTCGAATATTTTGCTTGTATTATACATACAACCAATATTACGCACAGATGCGTTTAAATACAGAAAACCTTACTTTCGCTGTTACGTTTGTAAACACAAAAAAATCGCTCATGCAACTTCACACTAGTAGTATAAATGTAGCCAACCAACAACGTATAACAAAAATTACTAATATTGCGGTGCTTATAAGAGAGCAATTGGAATTGTTACAATCCACCCCCCGTTCAAGAGTGTTCTCGCCACCCCTAACAGAAGATATAAAAATAAAAAGGAGCACAACAGGCTCGTATTCTGTAGTAATCAATGTATATTAAGAGCAAACTATAAACCAAGCCTTAAAAGATATGGGCGAAGGGATAATTATAAACCGAGAATAATATTAGATACGCTGACATCATTTTCGCAGATATCTTAGGTCTAGAAGGAAGATTAAGGTGATATATCTTCATTGTTCTTCTGTATGAAGTAGAATCGTGGACTTTTAATGCATAGACATTTAGGTTCCAAAAATTTAAATGTAAGGTTGGATAAATCTCTCCAATTGTTCATTGTTGCAGTAAACGAATCCGAAGCAATGCGTTAAATACGCTGTTATTTGCGCACAATTGTGTGAAAACAATGGCGAGAACTTCCACCAATTACTTCTTTACACTAATGTACGAAAATTTAAAAGAAAATTTATTGATGATAAAAACAGACATTGCTTATTTGACAGATTTGTTTGTTAAATTTATTATGGTGAACTGACAGTTGCAAGGTGAGTGTTTAAATTTGATAAAAACAAAGTCGATCATTCCCGCGTTTGTTACCTGAGAAACTGATGAAGCAAAACATTGGACGGTAAGAATTGTCCCAGTTCTTCCATTTGTCCCAGATAATCTGCCCTATGTCCAACATTTGAATGTCGTTTATTCAGATTTGAAACTAGATGTGAGAATAGATTGACACTGTTAATACTGCAATGGATTATCAATGCATTTGGTAACATTGAAGAAACCAATGTTACGTTACAAGTGGAAGTAACTAGAGTACGGACTAAGGACTAAAGAAGAACCTAAGGTATAGCTTAGAAACGGATATGTTAAGTTAATTCTGGCCTCCAAAAATATACGTGTTCCTTGTATCGGATTATAAAATACTGCGAGAAAGTTCTATTTGCGTTTCCATCTTCATATATCTAGTAGAAAGGGGTTTCAGCACGTTACAAATCTCGTGACAAAACAAGAAACAAACTGGACATCATTAACCCAAACCTCGGTTAGATTAAACCTAACTAAATTAATACCAAAAGTTAATAATTTATTAATAAACCAACAAATTCGTCCCTTCCATTACATAAATTTATTTTTGCTTATATTTTTTGGTGTCACAGTTACTATATTTTGATTTAAATGTAGAGATTTTAGTTAGAGATACTGTTAGAGATTTACATTTTTCAGATTGAATAACGGGATCTATCTAAAATTGAAAAACATGACACGGGGTCTACGAGAGAAAAAAGTTTGGGAATCTCTGATCTAGATCACAATTAACCGTGTTCGTTTATCTCTGCGATTTACCATGCCAAACTTAAAGGTCTTTGTTATGTTTTAGGTCCATGTTAGCATATCGATAACCACCAAAAAATTTACATTAATAGCTTTAAATAATTTTTCAACACTTTTCGTGAAGTTTACCGACTTGATTCGTAGGCTCAGGCTAAGATGCATACGAAATATCAGAAAGAACTAGCCATATCCTGATATCTAACACCATATCGACCTAATATGTTATTTTCCATTGTATAACAGTTAAAACAATCTTGATTTACCGCTAAATATTTCGAATATTATATTATATATACTTTTTTATTTTTTAGATTTCTGCAACAGTCGTGGATCCTACTGTTTACAAGGACATTGAGGAGGTCTTGAGGAAATACGGATATTGCAATGCAGTAGATTAAAATGTGTGAAAAATTAGTTAAAATTTTTATTTAATATAAAGTATTATTTTTCAAGAGTTGTCTATATACCAAATTCCTAGTAAATTTATTTGTAAGAAAATTAGTTAAAATATTAGAAATAATAAAGTATAAGTAATTTTAAAATTGATGTTTTTTACAAAAAAAACAGTTTACTGTCATCATCTATATACAAGTTATTAAAACGCTAATACAAAAGTGCACAGAATACAATAAGCCTATCTTTTTTATATTCCTAGACTATGAAAAGACGTTTGATACTATAGATTAGCGGTGCCCAAACAGTCAATGGCGATCGACCGGTCGATCGTAATAGCTTCTGTTGTCGATCGCAAAAGATTCAGATCCTGATCGAAATATTCCTTGCTTCTAAGGCAATGTGATCGCGCGACGTTTGGAGAATGTTGCTGGTTGTTCTTGAGTTTCTGTTTCTTGTATAACAAGCTGCGATGACAGAGCATTATGTCAGTATTTATTAAGTTATGACAAGTAGAAATTGAAAAAGTAAATAGCAAAACACCAAATGAGTACGACAAATATCTCACATCATGCTTACGGTTGGCACTCATTAATTACGCAATGTTTTACAAAATAATTATAGTGTTTTCAGAAATCTACATATTTTAATATCTAGGCTCCACTCTAGTACTAGTAGTGCATAGTCGATCGCTTGTCTTTAAAATATTTTGTGATAGATCGCAGACACTAAAAGTCTGAGCACCCCTGCTATAGATCATCACAAAATGCTTTGAGCATTGGCTGACAGCCTTGATTAAGGGTATCTACGTAACTGGTACAGCTTATGTCCGACTTCATGGAGATATGAAAAAGCCCAGAATATAATGTGAAATTAGACAGGGTGCTATTATCTCCTCGAAATTGTTTACAGCTGTACTCGAATATATGTTCAAGCGAATGGGGCGAGAGAATAATATGGGAATTAATATAAATGGAGAGGATCTGAACCCCCTCATATGTATTTGCCAATCACCATTATCATCATCATCCAGCCTTCTACGTCCAAAGTTAAACATAGGCCTCCACTAATTTCTTTCAATTCTTGAGCTTCATGCAGCCAATTCCCAGTGATTTTTTGACGTCGTCTGTCCACCGTGAATGTAGTCTACCTTTGCTTCTTCTATCAGCTCGTGGTTTCCACAATGTAATTTTTTGGGTCCACTGCCTGTCATTTATTCTGACCACATGCCCCGCCCAGTTCCAGTTCAGCCATGCTATACGCTCCATGATATCTGTGACGCCTTCTTCTTACTTCTTCGTTTCTGTCTCATATTTTAAGGTGTAGTTACGTCGTTGGCACGATCATTATGTGCTTGTTGTTGTCAAATCACACTTGTTTCGTTAATAATTTGATTTTGTGCAACCGTATGGAGATAAAGGATAAACAGAAGGCAGATCAGTCTATAACCATAACTTCATTACAGGCGGCATCCAACTCAGTAAGCATTGTTCCAATCTCTTATAAGTTATATGTTATCAGAACTGTGATTGATTCCTTTAGCCGATGACATCGTTTTAATATCTGATACGAGTTAATAAAGCTAGCAAAAGAAAAATAAACATAGAAAGCTAAATACTCTTGTTGCCAAAAGAGAAATTGGTAATGAGCTATGCTGTTCTAAGTCACTTTCTAGCAGAGATAACATTCCCAAAGAAATACACTCTTCGGGTGAAAATTAAAAAAATATTGTCCAACTACAGCCTTTGAAATCAAACAGTGCTACTTTCTCGGAAGAATTAGATGCCGTTTTTCAAGTTACAATCGATTAATAAAGGCAACACAACATATTATCATCCGAACAAAACGAAGATTACCTAAGCCAGATAAATTCTGCTGATGGATACAAACAACTCTCATGGAAAAAACGTATTGTCAATCACAAGATTTTCAACTATTCTGCGAAAGCTGGATTACAGGCAAATTACGCTGCAGTTCTTACAAAAAATGTGTTTCTCTGTAATTGTCACATTGCCCCTATAAATGCCACAGCGGTCGAATACTGCAATAACTCAGCTTCCATACACGACCTCTAGCAAAACAAGAACTATATTCCAGACCGTATCAAATCGGTTGTACACGACCGCTGTGGCGAAGTACTTATTGAACTGTCGGTGGTATACAACCGCCTGGCAGTCAACCTGTTAATTGTGTTCTTATCATGTGCCACACGCTTCCTGGTAAAAGTCATTGCGACAGCTAAACGATACGATAAACTTTGTAATCACGCGTATGACTCATTTCATTTTTTATTTTCTGGAATATAGTGAAATTATAATAATAGTCTCCTTTTATACCGGTAGCGCTGCTTTGGGATTATGACCGGTAGCGCGGCTTTGAGATTATGAGAGGGTTGTCTGCTACCTCGCCCCAAGGATTTATTCAAGGTACTTATTTTACTCAGGCTGAGATGACCTGGAGCCCGTAGATATTTTAAAAATTTCTAGATGTTCCCGCCGGCACTGGGCCAGCCTTCTGCGTAAAAATCACTACCGCCCGAGGTATCCGGCACATTAGTGAAATAATAATGCAATAAAAAATGAATGCGTTTTCTAACTTATTTATTAAGTTAAATGAAGTACAAAGTTAAGTAGACTAAACTTACAATGTGGTCTATATACATAATAAATATAACATATTGATAACTGTAGTTACTAAAATAAAAACTACATACAATTATAGTTTCTGCAGTAGTTACAACCCATGTAACTGGTCTTTTAAAATTGAATAAATCTCCTTTTTAAATACGATTTTGAAATATTACAGTGAATTGTAATATTACGTCCAATATGTTCTTCTCGATGTGGGGTTTGTTAAATATCTTAAATACATCAAGTTCTTTCCTGTATCTACTTCTCAATCTATTGTGCTTTGTCAAGAGTCTGATGTTAAATGAGTGTATTGATATAAAGATGCGACCCGAATGTTCAAATAACAACGTTTTGGTACTCAAATCAAAAATGTGTTCGTGGAAGATATATAAGAAATCAGTCAATAAAAGTCTTTGACAAAGACAAAAATGAGAACGGCAAAAAATTATAGCAATAAACGAGGACAATCAAAGCAAAGAAAAGATGGGTAAGTTGTAATAAAATCAAATTCACTTAAAAATGTCCAGTATTCTGAATCACACGCTGAAGTTAAGTATTTATGATGCTTTTTCAAGCGTCTGATTCTAAATGGGAGTAAATAAACTATGTGTCTACAGCACAATTAGACTAGGCATCTCATATGATTTCTTATTAGAAAAACGACAAAAAACCTAAAATCCATTCTGACCATTTTTACTCTTATCAAATCACGCTTAAAGGGCATATATGATTAAGCTAAGTTGTAAATGGGAGAGGTAGGGTACATTAATTATGTAGAAAAATCAAAAATACTACAAAATGTTTTATTGCCTTGACGTGAATCGTGACATTTTAAGGCAGGTTTATAAACGGACATAGTACATAATCATAAGTCATAAACATAACTTCAACCACAATCATAATTCATAAGATTTAAGATTGGTTTATAACTAGACATAATACATAACCATAATATTTAAGAACTACTTCAGAAAATACAAACCTAACCAAATTTTTATAGAGCATGAAGAATTTTTTTCTGGTCTTTAGATTCATAGAAAAGTGAAATAAATAAATATGTGGTTGAATTCGCTCCAAAAACATTAAATTAAAATAGTAGGGTTATGTTTATGTATGTATAGGAGGAACAACGCATGCGCATATTCCAACAATTCCATAATGTTTAATACTTAATTCATAAATGTTGAAAGTTACCAACTTTCAAGGTCACGTTTTAAGGACTAAATTTATGTCTTATGTATTATGGATACTTTTAAATGGGTACATTTATTTATTAACTTTTAACATTATGCTTATATAATAAGATTATGGTTTAAGACTAAAATTATGTTTATGTCCGTTTATAAATCCGGCTTTACATAAGACGCGACGTATTATGTCAAAAAGTTACGTTTCACCTCAAATGTCTCACGTATCTCGTCAAATGTCAGTACATTTTAAACGAGTCCACTTAGCCAAATGAACATCCCGAGTGTTTAAACAAAAAACAATTGTGATGCCTGAGACAAAATTGTGTTCTGGAAGGATATATAAGGAATCAGTCAATGAAATATACTTCATTATAAATCAAAATGGTCGGGATAAAAAACAAGCAAAGAAAATCTGGAGAAGTCACAATAAAATCGCATTGGATAATATTATTCCAAAAATGAGACCACTCAGATAAAGCAACATCTCGAGTGTTCAAACCAAAAAATTGTAGTACTCGAATCTAAAATTATGAATTGGGAAGATATATATATATATATATATATATATATATATATATATATATATATATATATATATATATATATATATATATATATATATATATATATATATAAAGAATCAGTCGATCAAAAATAAAATAAAATCTTAAACAATAAAAAAATCAGTCTAAACAGACAAATAAAACTGTTCCAACAAGGCAGAATTTGTTATGGAAAAAAACGAAAAACGTCAAAATGTTTTTGACATTACTAGACGAAAAATAACTAAAACTATTCGAAAAAAGTTTATATAGCAGATGTATAATTGCGGCATAATAATATCATATATTGGCCTTCATCATCATGATGTATTTCATAAGAGGAACTCCATCTGCATTCTACTTGAGAGTGGAGAAAAGAACACAAACTCCATTTTTCTGTGAAATTGTATTTATGCACTAATTACTTGGTTTTTTAATTCACTGAAATTTTCAAAAAAACTTTTGTAGAGGTTACATAAAGTCAGCAAAAATTGTACGAGTCTATTTGAAAATCATAGCATAACATAAACAAATTTGGGTATATATACAGTTCTCATGTTACGAAAAACGAATCATAGTTTGTTTGTCCTGTAAACATAGTTTCGGAACTACCACTCGGCATCTCCAGTCGCTTTTTGGAAGACGTAGTCTATTCCATTGAGATTCATAATGCCGTCTTTCAGGTAAAATTTCCATCTGTTTCTATTTCTTATTATTTTGTCGTATTGGCACACAACGATATTGTCTGTATCGAAAAGATCAGAAGGATCGTCGTCGGTAACGTCGTCTTCTGAGTTTAACGGTTCTTCTTCGCCTCCTTAAACACATTAAATAAATATGAATGGTCGTTGATACTCAACAACTTTTTTAATGAATTAAGAAAATATGTAACAGATAAAATGTTCAGTTTTGGTGGATTTAAGGCCCATAACAAATTTATGAATGATTACTGAAAGTATACAAAGATTCTACATCTTCAATTAAAACAGTAGAAAGATGGACTACTGTGTCGTGCATGTGCTGAATATATTCAACGTGAAGGGTGTCCAAAAAGTCAATCAACAACACCAATCACAACTAAAATACATACATTAACAGATAGATCTTTAGTAGAAGCCCTGGGTACCTCATTAGGCAGTTTGAGTAATATTTTGGGCGAATTTTTGGGTTTCATAACGATATATACACAATTCGTACATCATTCGCTAACAATGGAAGAAAATGCAGTTGGAAAATAAAACCTTTGGAAAGTTTTAAAAGCATAAAAATAATTGTATACATCTTGTAGTCATTTTGAATGAAACTTAGGTCTACCAGTGTTATGCTACATCAAAACAAATGACCAAGGAGTCATGTGACCACGTATTTCAACTACTAACGAATTAGGCTCCTGAAATTGACCAAGAAATTATTAGCATCAATTTGTTTGAAAATTTTATCAATAACCTCTCGTTATCGTTCTCTCATGAATATCATGCCATTAGCACTGCTGCTTAAAGGTTTTATTACCATTTGCGACTTCGTACTTGGGCGAAACGGGCTTTTGCAGTTGTAGTAACTAAAACAAGTACAGGTCAAACATAGACTTAGAAAAAGAAATGAGAGTGAATTTCCAAACTGGAGCCCCGGTTTCATAAAACTGTGCTCGAACAAGCAAGCACATCGCTCACATTAACCAGCCGGTTAAATAAATAAATATCCCTTTTGATTTTTGTGCACATGTTTTTAGCAAAGAAGAAAGCCTTTTTACAGTAGAGAATGCAACAAATACAACAGTCAAACAAATACTTTAGTTAGACAAATAAAAAAGAAACACTGGCAGAGTTTCTCAAAACAGATAGAACACGACCTCTACGAAACACAAAAAGAAATATGAGAATGATCAGACAGAGGACAAAGAATGGAGAATGATCAGAGGACAAAGAAGAGATATAAAGACTACTTTTGATCCCTATTTGCTAAAGGTGACAATAATGAACCACCAACACCAGAGGTGACGACAAACGAATAAATAAATATTGAGGAGGAAGAGGTAAAGGAAGCATTAAGGAAATTGAAAAATATGAGGGGGGTTCAAAGGGGTAGTGAAGCGCAATATAAGATGCTGTTTTCAGTTTGCATTCTCCAGCCTCTCCTACTCAATCCCTATCCTCACCTCCACCTGAGCAACCATGCTGGAGATTGGATAACCAAACCTAATGTCAAAAAAATCAATGCTCATAGAACCGAACAGAAGCATCGGAATTGGACGGATACACAGATGACGAACCACGCAAAAAAAAGAACAAAAAGACCAAATAATCTACGAATTGGCACTTGGAACATCGCATCGTGGAACAAATGGGAACATAAAGTTGTGCAGGAATTGAAGCTCTATAAAATTGATATATGTGCACTGAATGAAACAAAAAAGAAAGGGAAAGGAAGTGCCAATAGAAACAAATTTATACTCCTGTACACCGGAGTAGATAAAAACAAACGAGCTCAGGCAGGAGTAGGCCTCTTAATGCGCAATAATATAGTAACAATATTCAAGAAATAAGATACATAAACGAACACATGATGCTGGTTTGCCTTAAACTTCACCAGACGATACTTAATATTATCCCCGTATATGCACCGGATAACAACAAAAACAAGGAAGACGCGAAGATGGCAGATGAGCAACAAGGCTTCCGGAAGAACCGCAGCAAAATAGATGCAATTTTTATTATCAGACAAATAAGAGAGAAATCTATTGAATATGGAAAACCAGCATACATGTGCTTTGTAGATTTAAAAAGTGCTTTTGACAGGGTGAAACGAAATGACATCTTAAATTTATTACAAGCTGAACAAATAGACCGTCAGATAATAAGGACAATTAATGAAATTAACAAGAACAACAAGACCAGAGTTATAATGCCAACAGGAGAAACAGAATGCATAGAACTAAAAGGAGGAATCCACCCAGAGACTCGCTCAGCTCACTGTTATTCAATCCGGTGATGAATCAAATAATTCACGAAGTAAGAAAACGACACGGATACCGCATAGGAGTGCATAAAATCACGATGCTATGCTATGCTGACGATGCAATACTAATTACTGATAACGAAGATGACCAACAAAGGCAGCTGCGCGCCTTCAATATCACAGCAAAAAAACTTAATATGAGAATATTAGTAGAAAAAACTAAATGTATAGCGATCAGTAAAGAGCCGTGTAGATGCAAACTAGAAATAAAGGGCAAAATTGTAGAACAAGTAATGAAATTCAATTACCTAGGAGTAGAGATCACTAGTGACCGGGATATAAGAACAGATATCACAAGGCAAGCATCAAAAGCGACAAGAGTAAGTGGTTGTCTCCGAGAAACCATATGGAAAAGCAAATATCTGACCACAGAAAGCAAAATGAAAGTATACAAGACAACAGTAAGACCAATCCTAACATATGCAGCGGAGACAATGCCTGATACAAGAAAGACGAAACAACAAATCAACAATATAGAAATGAAAATATCAAGATCAATAGCTGGCATATCATTAAGAGACAAACAAACCAACAGAAGTATGCGCGAACAATGCAAAATTAAAAATATTAAGAGGAGGGTAAAAACAAGAAAAAAAACTGGAACGAATGGAATTCTCCTCAAGAATGGAGATCAATCATCCTAATACCTCTTTTCAAAAAGAGAGACAAATCAGACCCGGAAAATTACAGAGGAATTAATTTATTAAACACAACACTAAAATTAACAACCAAAGTGATAACAAATAAACTGAATGAAGTTATAACACTAGCAGAAGAACAACAAGGTTGTAGGCTCTGTTTCATGGACCTTACGAAGGCATTTGACCGGGTCAAATTAACAGACGTTTTCCATTTACTATACGCTAGAGAGATACCTCTAGGAATTATTAAAACAATGGAAAATATCTACCAAAACAACACAATAAAAGTAAAAGTGGAAGAAAAAATAAACGACCCTATTCAAGCTGGCGGCGGGATAAGGCAGGGAGATTCCCTGAGTTCTCTATTGTTCAACTTGATTATGGATGAAATAATAAAAAAAAAGTAAGAACTAAAAAAGTATACCAAATGGGAGAAAAACAACTTAAAATGATCTGCTATGCACACGACGCAATGTTACTCTCTCAATGTGAAGACGATTTACAACGTATGCTGCACCAATTTAATATAACCGCCAGAAAATTTAACATAATTTTCACAAAAAAAAGACAAAATGCATGGTTACAACAAAAAATTTACTAAGATTTGTCAAAATTGATGGCAAGACACTATGGGACAGAGCTAGAAGTACAGATATACGACGTAGATGAAAGGTAGAGAACATGGGTAAGAAATAGAAGAGGGGAATGGAACGATTATATAAGTCGAATGACAACAAATAGAATAGTAAAGACGGCAAGAGACGGTTCCCTAATAGGAAGACGATCGGTAGGAAGACCACGAACACGATGGAGCGACTACTTAATGGAGGCACATTAAAAAACAGTGTCATGTCTATATAAAAATAAGATGTTTTGATTTCGTATTAATTTTTAATGAAAAATATAAATGTTCAAATAGTGTTTTTGTTATAACTATAACCTGTTAAAAGGTTAGTACTACAATTGTTAAGTATTATTGGGGGTTGGGTTGAGGAGGCGTCGCAAAAAATAGCAAAGTCCCAAGGGCGTCACAATACGAATAAGTTTGGGAAGCCATGCAATATTGTATTGTTTGAAAAGGTAAATTTCACAGTTTATAGGCAGTAAATCAGATAGCACCTACAACTTTTAAAACTCATAAACAATACATTCAATGAAATATAGGAAAGAATGTGACAACTTAGGTCATAAATAATCATGCAAAAAATGTGGAATATGTCTATGTATGGGAAGGACAGTAAACTAAAAATTTGTTTAGTATAGGCCAATAACATTGAAATGTATACCAATAAAATATTGAAAACTTTTGTTTTCAAAACTTCCACAAAATTTCTTATAAATTTTTATCACTACAGCTGTTTCGGCAGAGTGCCTTTCTCAAGTGATCTATTTTTGGTACGTGTTTAAACTACAAAAGTTGGTGTTATTCCTTTCTTTTTATATGTTTGGCTATTTTTGTTAATATCTTGCCTGTATATGTAATCGAGCAGAAGGTACTGAGTTTTTTCTCTGGTGGTTTAAATACTAATTTTATGGCTTTCTGATGTAGTTTTTGATTTAAAATTTTATTTATTGTTTGTTCGTTGTATCCATTGTTTATTGCTATTTGCTTAGTGATGTTTAAATATATCTATCCATTTAGAACAAACAACAATTTAGGCAAATATATTAAAAATAACAATAACCAAAATAAAAAACCATTAATACAGTGGTGTATGCAAAGTTAAATACAGCGACTGCCCAAAAACTTACATCAGTCAAACTGGTAGAACTTACAAAAACGTATAGCAGAACATAAAAGGGCTTTCAATGATAGAAAAACAGATTCTACATACGCATTTCACCTTCTAGGCCATAATCAATCTTTTAATGACAAATTTCAAATTCTTCACATCCAAAATGAAGGCCTTAAGCTATCTTTTTTGAATCTATGGAAATTACCAAATTAAAAAATACAGACATAATTCTGAATGATCAACTTGAATGACCAACAGTTCTCCCCTCTTCAACCTATTCAGTTAAAGACTATAAAGTGTAAACACATACCAAAAATTAGATCACTTGAGAAAGGAACTCTGCCGAGACAGCTGTAGTGGTAATAACTTATATTTGTGAAAGTATTGAAATATTTTATGGTACATAGTATCGCAATAATCTTACCTTCATCTTCCATTTCTTGATCATCTTCATCTTTGTCATCGTCTAAATCGTCGTCATCGTTATCATCATCAGACCCGTCTTCATCTTCGTCTGAAGTATCGTTTGGTCCATCGGCCTGATTGATCACTGGCTTTTTTGTTTTTTTATTCGCTGAAATAAATAAAGACAATTATTTATACGATGACTGACGGTAAGTCGTTTTCTAGTCAAGTCTCGAATACTTGGAGCTGATAAATACTCAAGTATGTCACCACATAAATTAGCCTCCCAATTAACATTTTTGGCACATTGTTGTCTGTTATAGACAATTTGCTATTTACTACGGCGTGCAGCTTAAGAATCGAAAGTTAATCGTTATTAGCAAAGTCAAAACCTACCTAAACGTCACAGTATGGACAGCAAGAACATTGCCTCTTTCCATAAGGGCACAGTTCATAAGGAAACGATGGAAACAAAACCAACGTGCAATTCATAAAAAAGATAAAAGGTGGTGGTTGTCTGAGAGAAAACACAAATGCTCAAGTCGATATATTATATTACTTAGAAGAAACCAATATATATTTATAGAGGATGTTGCAGCAGTGTGTGGAGATTTTACGAAAGTCCTCTTCCTTCGCATCTTTTGAACGTTTATACTTGAATCGCTTATTTCAGAAACAACCTAAGTCACATAGTCACATTTTGGTGATTTTGAGTTTATAAGACCAACATGTAGTTCTGTGGGTTACACATAATTTAATGCAGAATACACGTAAGTCCCTTAAGCATAGTTGCTTTTATATCGATTTAAAATATTCATATATTTCTGAAACCACCTTAGTCCCGTAATAAGATTGTTTCTGGACTAAATTGTCAGTTGTCATTTTGCATATCGACGTTTACCATAACCTATAAAATTCATAGTGTTTCTATTGTCTGTTCTTATTGCTACTTACAAATAGTTGTCTGTATAATGGAAGAAAGACGTTCATATTTTAATATTATTATGAATAACGATCAATCAACCACAAGTACTGAAACCGTCAAGGATGGAGAGCCTGCTACTAAAATGCTTAAGGGAATTAGGAAATCGGATGAATATCAGCGTAATTTTATCAGAAACTCTAGAGTTAAAGGGCCATGAAAGCAAAACAAATAGGACCTCAGTGCAAGTAAGACAATAAAAATATAATATTATTGAGTTTGTAAAATACATTTTTTAGGTGTATACTCAAATGTTTTGAAAAAGTGAACGAAGATCAAAGGAACATTAGTTTTGGTAACTTTTACGGTATAATAACAAAAAATGAACAGGATATAAAATATATCTACAAGGATTAATAGAAGTAATGGAGATGTCTAGAAGAAGAAAACGTAATGAAGGAGGTAAAGATAGGACAAGAAGGTGCTTTTTTAAGTATTCACGCCATTGGAACAGAAATGCTAAAGAGAATTAAAAGACTTGTTCTATGTCGTGTGATACCTACAGATAAAAGGGGAAAAATATAAAAGGCAACATTACTGATGCGGAACTTATCCGTAGCCTCATAACTACATTTCCAGTCAAAGAGTCTCATTACTCTGGTAATGAATTTAAGTACTTAGATGCGAAACTCAATATAAAAATAATGCACGAATTATTTATTAAAAGGTATCCTGAGAGTACAGTAAAATACAGTTACTACAATAAATTGTTTCATACAAATTTTAATCTACATTTTGGTAGGCAACTAATTAACACATGCAATGTCTGTAAGGAGCTTAATTTAAAAATTAAAAGCCCTAGTCTTGGTGAAGCAGCAAAAAAAGTAGCGGTTGTCGAAAAAGTCGTACACTGCCGCCGAAGTAAAAAAAAATTACACTGCCCTACATGATCAAGTTAAGGAATACATTCAAAGAGATGTTGTAAAAGCAATCGCCTTCGATTTTATGCAGAACCTTCAAGTTCCTGCAATTCCTGTAAAAGACCTATTTTATCTGTCGCAGCTTACCGTTAATGTTTTTGGCATCACCAATATTATATTTTCTTCCCAGACAACTGAAGGCCTTCCCTTTCTTCTTTTTTGTTGTATGTAATTTAACGCTTTCTTTGGCCTTCTATCTTCATTCATTCGCTTCACGTGACCATAAAACACTAATTGTCTCGTTTCAACTCTGTCTACACTCGAATATACAGTATTTGTCCTCCTTCTAATATCTTCATTCCTGATATGATCTTTTTTGGTTACATCACATGCTCTCCTTAGAAAATCCATTTCTACTACTTCTATTATTTTTCTATCTTTTTTCGTGATCTGCCAAACTTCTGCCCCATAAATCATAATATGTTCTACCGATGTTCTTGTTTCTTGTTTAATATCTTTATACCACAGTAGAGAGTTTAGAATGTCAACCGCTTTTTTTCCCTGATGCGTTCTGTTTTCGATGTCTCTTTTGGTAGTGCCGTCTTTAGAAATTATAGATCCGAGATATTTATATTCATTGCATGTTTTTTTGTTTCTAATTTCTTACTCCGGATCTTCTTCATCATCTCCTATTTTAAAATACTTTGCCTTTGACATATTCATATTGGGGCCCCATTTTCCATATTCTTTCTTTAGTTTTCTAAACATGTAGTCCATGTCTTCCTCATCATTCCTTACGACTATCCATTCCGGATACTTGTTTACTCCACTGCTCTAGCGATGATTGAATATATATTTTAAATAAGGTCGGAGATAGACAACATCCTTGTTTAAGCTCCTTTGTTATTAGAAATGATTCAGATATAAAGTTTCTTTCTTTAACGACACTTCTTGCATTTTTGTATATATTTGCGATAGCATCCGCATACTCTCTACTGAGACCTACTTTCGTCAATGTTTGAAATAGTTTTTTCAAAAGTACCGTATCGTATGCCTTTTCTAAATCTACAAACAATAGGTGGGTAGATAGATTCCTTGCCTTCCGTTTTTCGATTACCTGCTGCAGAACGACTATACCATCAGTGCACGATCTTCCTGCACGAAATCCATTTTGTTCTTCTATGTCTTCGTATTCTAATTCTATTCTTCTTTTATTATTCGACCGTACAACCTCTCCACTGAGCTGATAACAGTTATTCCCCTATAATTAGAGCATTTGCGTTTAACCCCTTTCTTGAATATTGAACTGATGTATCCAATATTTCAATCATCAGGAATATTTTGTCCTTTTACGCATTTGTTAAATAGTTGAACCAACATCTCGTGTAATATTTTTGGTCCATACTTTAACAACTCAATTGGGATGTCTCTAGGTTCTGCTGCTTTACCGTTTTTCGATCTTCTGAGGGCATCGTTTAACTCTCCGGTTGTTATCTCAATTATTTGTGTGTGTTCGGATATTCTTCCATTTCGATCTATTGGAATTTACATCTATCATCTGTCAGTAAGACCTCATAATGGTGTTTCCACTGTTTCAGATCTATTAACTGTAAGTTAGATTTTTCCTTTCCTTCCCTCTGGAGAGATTTTATCACCTTCCAAGCTTGCCCAACTCTTGTTCCACCCATATACCTATCCAACTCTGCACATCTTCGATCCCACATCTCATTTTTACTTTTCACTACTTCTCTTTTTACATCTCGATTTAATTTTTGATATTTTTTTTATATATCTTCCTCCTTTCTCATTGACATCCATTTCTGATAAGCAGTTTACTTCTTGTTGACTAACCTTTGCATATTCTCCACCATTCTTGATTTTTTGTTTCATGTTTGTCTTTATGCATGATAATGCATTTTTTAAGTTGCTGATATAATTCTACCGCTGATATAATCACGAATATTATGTCAAGAAAATCCGTTCTTTATTTACCTGCAGCTTTTTATGAGATTATATTGAAAAATATATTGGAACAGATGTAAAAGAACTACGCCTGTTTTCTGACAACTGTCCGGGTCAAAACAAAAACGTTACAAGATCGTGTTTGGTTTTAACCGATACAGGCAGATTTCAAATAATTCAACAATTTTTCCCACTGCGAGGTCACTCATTTCTTCCCCGTGACCGTGTTTTTGGGGTTATTAAAAGAACCCTCAGAAAATTTGACCAAGTTTATAGCATCCATAAGTACACGGAGATCATTGTTACCGCAAGTGCCCAAAACCTACTCACGGTCTGTGAAATTAAAAGGGAAAGTATTATAAATTTTAAAGACTGGTGGTCTAGGTATATGGTAGTCTGCATATACGTCGACCGAGGCACAGAAGTTAACAAGGGACCAACTAATTTCGTTTTCAATGTCCAAATTGCATCATTTTGTTTACAGCGTTGATGGTCCCGGCAGTATTCGAGCTAGTGAATACAGTAATGGTGCCATATGGAGTACCTTCAATGTTTCCATTCCAAAAACAAGGAATGTCACAGTTAAATTGACAACTCAAAAGGCGTATAAAGACCTAATTCCAATACTATATATGAAAAAATAAAATTTGACCACACTGCTTCAATGGGTGAAGGAACTGTTCAAACCATTGTACGAAAATATTATTTAAACATCAGCAACTAAGAAAAAATCCAAGGAAGTCACAAAATAAACTGTACGATATTAAAATTGTTTAGTAATAAATACGTTTTGAAACCTGACATTTCATTAACAACCTAAGTCCATTTTCCGAATGTGACTTAGGTTGTTTCTGGACTAAGCGAAATATAATAATAAAATTTGGAGGGAGGAACTAAACGGACGTAGGCTTCTCAAAAAACTAGTCATAACAGGTGATGTAGTAGTCATAGATGACGTTACAGAGCCATTGTGAGTGATAATTTTAAATGGGAACTTATGGCAAGTGATATCTGGTTAGAAAGGTCTTGAAAATACATATTCAATCATACTAATTTTTGTTTAGATTTAAGCTGATTTTGATTTAATAAAGAAAGCTATAACATAAATTGAGAGTGAGTAAATATATTGTGGCGTTAGTGCCATTGGGTACAACCAACCAGATGGAAACTGCACCATATAGTCAGTCAGTAATTGAGGCCATCCCCAGAAAAAGGGTCCATATACCAAATAGCGCTTTTGAGAAAAACTGGTTCTATCGGTTATAGTGAACAGGTTGCTATAAAAGATATTACACTGGTAGGAACAGTTAGTTCGTTGTACCTAGGTTTATGACACAAAAATGTATTACTTTATTTATACTTATA